TTGCTAGGCGAGTGCACAATACCAATGGATTTATTTCGGAAATGTGCAGAACGTGCTCACATATTCAAATCAACATTTAAAAAAATTTTTATTTAATAAAAGCATGGAATTTATTTCGGTTTTAAGTCGAAACACAAAGTACACACCAGAGCAGCTAAAAATAATTCAGTCAAAGCATTTGACAAGGAAACCTCGTCAACTCTTCTGTGCTAATGCTGCGCCCAGAAGAGAATAATGCCCAGAACAGAATAATCAAAAGTTTTCATTTATCGTCATAAAATCCTAGAATTTGTGGCCTTTCAAAATAAAATAATATAATATAAAATAAAACACAAAATAAATAGGAGTTGAATTTACATAAAATTTGTGCCTTGTGGCTGCTATTATGAGTTCTGCAAACGCTCAATATTTTTTCTCACTGTATATCGATGCAGTAAGACCGCCGTTGGTGGTATTGGAAATTCCTTGAATAGATTTTTATGTGTCATTCTTGAAGAGCTGTTTAGGCTATATTTTTAAAATTTGTATTTTTTAATCAAACAATAAAATATGTAAACAAATACTTTTTGAAGGCAAAAAATTAACTTCCATGATTATGTTTTGCTATGATATACAAAGGCATATTCTATAGAAGTCTTATTCTGCTACGAAAATAATTTTTTTTTAATTTTGAATTTTTAATATATTGAAGTTTCTTAAATACTTAAAAATAGCTGTGAAGAATAAAATGTTTTTAAATAATTAGTTCCACTTTCACATTGAAGTTAAATTTAATTAAAACACTCGTTTTTGCCCCAAAATAATTGTGGGTAAATTTAACCCTTAATATCCTTAATCCGTAACAATCTTTCCAATAGAAAATGTATCGAAAATAACAATTTAGTTTATTTTAAGCCTTCAATGAAAATGTGAACTTAATTGTTTTCGGATTCCGGAGTAGAATAATAATAAACAGGAAATAAGCCCCTTAATCACTTATTGAGTCAATGAAATATGCCTGCTTTAAGATAAAATTTAATGTACTATGTAGTATATGGTATGTACTACATACATATATACATATGTATAATTGCTTAAGATTTAATTTTAATTGGCAAATAGATATAAATTTATATATTTAAAGTACCATTAAATCTAAATAAAATGATTTTCCGTTCTTATATATATTTTTTTACTATAGTATTACGTATGTGCAACATTTCCTATATTTGTACCTTATTAATTTATGTTTATTAATGTACTTTTACGTGAAGTGCTGTAAAATACATATATATAAATTTTTACAATAATAATTAAAAGGCCAACATATAAGATGATATTAAAATGTATCTACGGTTTTTTGTCACAAGATGCCAACAATGAACAATGGACAATCTATATATCTGGCAACACCAATCTAATTATATCAAAAGCCAGTGAAATACTGCAACTGAACAAGTTTTTTACCGATAAACTGATAGAATTTTTTATAGTACTCAAGAAATAAAAAAGGTCATAAATAATAATTAAATAATAATTAAATTGATTTTCAATCATGAACATTTTTTTCCGAAAATATATCAGAAAGTGACGGATATATTCAAATAACACCCAAAATAATAAGATCCGTCAAAGGCATGTTTGACGTGATGTGGAAGAAGATTTCATCTTTCAGTGCATTGTTTCTAAACAAAGGTTGTTCAATCAATATAATCAATCAATTTTCAGTTAGTATCATATACACACTATTTTACTCATATAATGAGATTTATATTCCATACTATTTTAATATCTCAACTCTTCTCATACCTACTTTTTTATAGTGAATGAGTTATTACTTATTATTTATAATTTTTTTTCGAATCACATATTTTTTCGGTATTTTTAAAATTTATTTTATTTCTTCAATTTATTGATATAGATGAAGTGATATAGATAAAGCAAAATAAGCAATAGACCCACCTCAATATGTTTTCTTTTATAATATCTATAATGTCCGTGGACACAAAGAGAAAAAAACTCAATTGTTTTTATAATTTTGTGTTATGATAATATGATCGTTTTTATCTGTTTTCAGTTTTATCATTTTTATTCATTTTATCTTTATCTGTATCTGCAAACTATATTTTCAAATTTTTTTTTGAATCTTAATTAGAAGCTATGAGAAGATCGCATACTTTGCTTCTACTATTTAAATTTTATAAGTAATAAAAACTGTTACAACAAAAGACCTGTATCTGAGAAAGTAATGTTTGGAATGGTTCACCGAATAATCGCTAGACTATAATCCTAGTACGGCATTACTGCTACTATAAGACATCCTTAATGGATAGAGCATCGCTGAAGCTGCTAGCAGACTAAATGGTGTGTATCATAACCCGCTCTTTCTTTTAAATAATAGGAATCTGTTAGAACGTTAGAATGTAAACTACATAAATGTAACTAAATGTAAATAACTATTCACAGAGAAGGAAGGATCAAAAATCGCTTGCTGTCACAACAGGTGAAACAAGATCGGAGAACTCTTACTAAATATAGTTCAACCCAGAATTCTATTTAATTTCAATCTAATCGAATACAGAAATAAGTACTTAACTTCGTGATCAATTATTTATGGAAACGGGAAGCATTTATCTTTAATGGTTCAAAGATGAAAAAATTAATGAATTGAATTTCATTGTTAAAAAAATATTTTCAGCTTTTTTTTTAGAATTATTAATTTTAATTACGAATAATTGTGTTGTAATAATATTTTAGCTTTAAGAATAGCTCAATAAATTATTTATTGTATACTCGTATTTCAGTTCCATATTATACTTCAAGTGTTATTTTAAATATTTGCATATATAATTAATGAAACTCTTAATCCATATTCAATTTTAGTTTACAATGGGGATCTATATTGAGTCACCGATTTCATTTATTTCAAATTTTTGATATTTCTTAATGGAAAGATTGCCAGTAATTATAATTTAATATTAAACATATTCCTTTTTTAATATTTCGAATTTATATAGATTAATCGTAATAAAAATAACCTTGAAATAAGAGAGATAGAGATTAACAATGCTATATAGACAGCTGTACGCAGCTTGCCCCTACTTCAGTCTTATAACGAGATTACTGTATTATTACTCCCAATCATGGCAAGAGACTGAATAAGTTATTTTCTCAAAGGATTCTTTCTGCAGTTCTGATAAGTTAAATGAACTTTTTCGTATCTGCTCTTCTATAACTCACCGTATATGGATCGTTGATTAAACATATTAGGTATATAATTTAGACGATCTTTACCAGCTACCAGCTATTTAATAATAAATCTTATCGCATTTTAATAAACGTATAGTATTAATAGATTTAATTAATATTCAAAGTTACTTTCAATCAACCAATATTTATATAATAACAAATTTGAAATTATTTTTACATTGAATAAAATTTTTACATCGGATTAAATTGTATTAATCAAACGTTGGTTTATCCTTACGACGAGATCTGCTCTTAGTAAAACAGAGGACATTTATTTATTATTTTTAAATTCATATATTCATTCATTCATATATATACATTCATATATTTCAATATACATAAAAATGAATTTTTTTAAATATTTTAAATTATTAAAAGAAGCATAATTAATATATTATATGTGGATATTCATTTAGGAACATATAAATATTTGTTCCCGATTGTTAAAATAGCATTGTTGAAATATATCATATATATAATAAGTTTTTAACTAAAACACATCATAAAATAAACTTAAACTTTGAAATAAAATAAACTTTAAGCAACTATAAGTTTCTACTATAATAGTTATTATTATATTATATTTAACATATAATTATTTTTTATACCTATATGTCAGCTAATAGATTTTTATGTTCCATTATCCAAATATTTTTTGATATAATAGTGAATATATTTCAATATTATTTATTAAAACTGAACTTTCTGCAGTTGTTTTAAGGGTTTTTAATATTATTTTAAAAATCGTTTTTAAATATTAACTATTTTATGATCAAAAATTATTTATATGTGATTTTTATAAATAAAGTAGTAAAAACATCTTAAATTATTTGACTCAAATTTTTTTGCTTTAAAATTTTTTTTATAATCATTTTTTTTAATATTAATTTTTTTAGGAAGATATATTTTTGTTATAAATAAAAATCATTAAAAATAACTCAAATTATTCCACATTAATTTTTATTTTATTTTCAACATTTCTTCAGTCTTCAGGAACCGACAACTTTACATCAAAATACCAAGTACTTAATATGTTGATGTGTTTTAAAATGTTTATTGGTTAAAATATAATATATAACCAATGTTCTTTAATATGTTGATTAGCATTATGCTATAAAATTGTCAATGTCTTGAAGATGAGTATCGATTAAAGTCAAAATGTTAAAAATAATATTAAAATAAATATGAAATATTATAATTTATTTTTAATTATTTTTATTTTTAACAATATAATATTATAATTAATAATTTTTGGTCATAAAATAATGAATATTCACAAAGAAATTTTGGTAAAAAGGTTTCGAAATTAATTTTAATTAATTAAAATAATATAAAAATAATTTTTGTTGTCATAGTGCACTACTTTTCGAAACCTCCCTACCAAATATGCTTATTTCTAATAAATTTAATAGTCTCTTCCATCATAACTTATGTTAAATTACAACTTAAATCAAAAAATGTTGGTAATAACAATAATTATATTTAAAGCAATTAAAATTAGTGTGAAATAATTGAAATTGTTTTTATTAAATTTTATTTATAACACCAGTTAAATGAATTTGTCCAATTAGCCTTATAAAACACAATATTATAATTTTATTTACCAAATATTTGTATTTATAACGTGTCATATTTAATCGTTGAATATTTATTTTCATTATTTAAATTCATTTTAAGTGCGTCTATTCATTTAAATTATTAGCTCATCATGTATTTGATTTAAATTAATTTATGAAAAGAGAAAAATTTGATTAAATTTATATCAAACGTACCTGCAAACTGTTTTGGGAGACAATCCTTAGTAAAATTACAATGTCAGTTTATTTATTCCACAAAATGCATAAAAACATACAATAAAGTACAGACAATAATGTTGCACATAAAACTGATAAGGTGATATTTTAATCCATTCACGTTCCGGAACAATATTTCATACGCGTAAATATTATTTTAGTTTGTTGAAATTCGCACAACCTTGGTTCCACCGATACGACGACCACAGAGACAGACTATGGCTGCAGATATTTTCTAATTTCTGTTTGGAATGTTTGTTGCGCGATAAATTGTTTGTTTGTTATGCAGGACGTGTTTGTTGGCAGTATTTCAGACTTTTTTACGAGGGACACTAACGACCGCACGCACCGGCACAAAAATCCGTGCTACGTCGACACTTAACTTTATGACGATAACATAAAACGTCACTTAATTCATGTGCATAAGATACACTCATTTGCAATTACAAGCGCACAACAAATATTAACGTTCAGTAAATTTAGTTTAACACACGCTCTGTCGCTGTTCACTGTTCTATCACTGTTAACACACACTAACACTAACACTAGTTAAGGACTATGGCTTTGGCTATGTTAACTAACATAAATGTCGGCAGTCCTAATGTCAACAATGGCGACAATGACGACAATGTGCACAAACAATAAATTGAAAATATTAAAATCAAGCAAATTCAAATGCAAAAGCAGTGGCAAAGTCGGAGTCAGTGTCAGAGACGGAGACGGAGCCGGAGGTAAAGACAAAAGGATAAAGACAAGAGTAACAACTGAGGATGCCGACAGTTGATGCTGACAGCTTGCACAGTGAATTAAGTTTTATGTAACTCGTAGGATTTGAATTTAGATGAATGTTGACCAAACTCTGCACACCTAACCGTGCTACTACATTCCACTCAAGCGGTACACAATTGAAGTGACATAAAGTAATTTCTTAGACCACAAAACGCTTCACTTTAATTACACTATATATGGTATGCGAGTTCCTATTTAATTAAATTTTATTTTTATTAGCATTTTTATTGTTGCCATTACGTGTGCTCTTGGCTTTATTTGTTGTCCTTTGAACTACGATAGCAAATCCTTTGGGAACACACTAACTTTATTAATGCAACCGAACCGCACGAAAGTCCTTTTTCAACTAACAACGTCGGGCGAAGTCTGTGTTTCACTTTCGATGCACGAGCGATGCTGCACACGATGCTTGCTTATCAAAAGAACTGAGACAAGTTCGTTTGTGTGCCAATGCCGAATTGTTGCTCGGCTCTGAAGCAAGCGTACATCCGTTTTCTTTTCATATTGTTGCAGTCATGCGAAATGTTTCGCTACCAATGCGAATCCGAAGTTTAAAAGTAATTGGTGTGCCAAACCTTTTCAATTAAACTGCTTTTCTTCTTGCCTTAGGTTCTGGCAATCAAAACAAAATGAAAATGTTTCGTTAGCAGAATGTAAAAAACAAAATAAACGATGATGAGAAACAAACAAACAAAAGAAAATGTGCTTAATGCAAATTGTTGGAATATTAAGGAATTGCAGAAAAAATAGTTCGAACTTTTAGAAAAGAGAAGTAATAGGATTGAACTATAAGTTGGAATATAGTACAGTCATTTTATATGATATAAGCACATATAATTACATATAACATATACATATTACATATTACATATAATTACACCATATATACATAATAATATATCATACCTTCTGCTCAAAAAGTATTCGGATTTAGTAAATAAAACACACAAATTTGAATTTTATTCCAAATTTATTTTATTTTATCTCCTTCAAAATATGCTCCTTCCAAAGCGATACACATATGCCAACGCTTAACCCAATCTTCCATACACTTTTCGTAGGCCCGTGAAGGTATGGCTTTTAGTTCCTTCAGCGAATTCTCTTTTACCGATTCAATCGACGCAAAACGCTTACCATGAAGTGGCAATTTGAGTTTCGGGAACAGGAAAAAGTCGCACTGATCTAGATCTGGCGAATATGGTGCCTGAGCGATGACAGTGGTGCCGTGTTTGGTCAAAAAATCGCGTACAACAAGAATTTTCCATAGTAAAAATCGCTAAATGCACTTGAGGTAGTCAATATTAACAGCTGCTGTAAACAAACTAATTGACAGATGGCGCTCAAATTTGTACCATATGTCAAGAAAGGGTATACCAACATAATAAAAAAAAATTTTTGAAAAATATCTATTACTTAAGGAGTAGTTAACAAACAACAAAATCCGGATACTTTTTGAGCAGAAAAAAGTATTACTGGCAGTATAGGAACAAAAAGAAGAAATAAGCTTTTGTTGATGTTATTTTTTTTATATTAAAATTAACTGAAATGTTCCGAAAATTGTTCTCTAATTTTAATAATATGTAATATATAAAAACATATTATATTAATGACATATAATCCAGTTCATGATGCAATTTATACTTATGCGTCACTTCAACATGGGTTTTAAATAGCTTTTTTATACTCTTTACACAAAGCAATTTAATAAGTTAAATAACTTATTTAAGATTATTTACTTAAGACTATTTAAGTTTGTCAAGAATTTATATCCCGAAATATTTTTATAACGCATGGAACGAATCATTATTTTAACCTCTAGCACTCTGTCCTCTGATATCTTGTCAGATATGGGCTACAAGCCACCCAACACCCGACGTCATACTTAGATGAGAGCCATTCAGATGCTTTCATCACCTCTCTCTATAACCCACACTTTTAACCTGCCTACCTTCACTCTATATCATGCCCTATATCATATCTTAGATAAACTTAGACTTCTAAATACTAAGCCCTTTTTTACAACTGCCTCCCCTGATTACTGGAATGAAGTTTCTCACATTGATTTTTGTACCATGCCCTTGCTATCTGTGTTATATAAATCTAAAATTCGAAATTTAACCTCGGTAATCCCGCGGTTAGCAACTCTAATCATCAATACTGAAGACCGGGTGCTAGCCCCGATGGACACAACTCATTTTAATGTAAAATTTATTATGAATGAGTTTTCAAAAATTTCATTGTTATATTAACATATATATATATATATTATAAACAAAACCTCAATGAATATTCATAATCGTGCGTAAAATGTATCTAAGTTTCGCCAAAGTCAATTTATAGCTAAATAGAAGGAAGGAAGGAAATACTTTAGTAACTTTTCTCTCGAATTATATTTTAAAAATAAATTATCTTTACAAAACTTACAACTAAATCCTTTTGTATTCTAAAATTTAATAAGAGATGAAAAGACTCAACGATATGCAGGCGTCTGTATGGAAGTTGTCTACATTCTATTAGGGAAAAATCCAGCATTTTCATTGAAATATCCTGTAAACATGTTAATGCAGTGGTATTGAATCTCCCGTTTACACATTACTGCGGCATTTCTGAAGAGGTCGAGAAAAATTTCTCTCATCTACTTTAATACTCTCCAGCGAATATACTGATTTACTATTTAATATTTTTCTAGAAATAGGAATAGGAAGCACCTATATCTTTTTTAAACATCTTGGCCAACTAGCAGACCTTCCTCTAAAGAAAATTATAGACTTTGCTACATATTCAAGGTTGTTTTTCAGAGTTTCATATACGGTAACACAATCGCCCAATAGGCCTTAGTAAATGCTTCTGATCATCGCAACAACCTAACATGTGTTCTAGAAGTTTTTTAATTTTTCTTCTGCTTCTATAGGAATATCTATTCTTCTAACTATTTTATATAAGAAAAAGTCTTTCTTATACTCTAAAATCATCACGTCGATTACCATATTTCTTTCCATAATAAGTGCCAAAAACAATAATGAATCAAACAAATTGTATATACAAATAGATTATTGGATTGCCCAATAATCAATCACTTAATTTACTTTCTGTACTCAACTCCTGCATGTCAGAGTAATTCAAAAGGATATAACAAAGTTAAAGGGAATAATTTATTAAGCAAAATTACAAAATCAACAATATGATATAAAAACTGCATTGATGTCATCGTTAAACTTCGCTTCCATTACTCATCGCTTTGTACACAAGTCACATATTTGAAATATGCAGTCATGAAAGGTTAAAACAATAGCAAAAAACCAAACCAAACCAAACCGAAGCAAACCAAGCCAAACAGTATCAAGTAGAAAACCTTAATAGGTGGCAGCACATGGCATGTCGAGCAGAGCATGCTTACAGTCCATTGGTTATACAAATATGCGCGCGAAGGTTAAGTCTAATAAACACCAACAATCTAACCACGAAACCCTTTATTACACCAGGAAAGTTGAAACGCCATTTGTGCAACCAGGATTAACTTAAGCAACCAACCAGAGAACAACCAGAGTACAATGCTTTCCATAGAAATTGTGTCAATGTGTATATATTGTATATAGTTTGACTCCTGCAACCTGCACACTCAAGTGCACGGCAGAGCTCATGTCTGGCCATTAATCCGTGAGCGGGCGCCCGCAACAACAACAACAGCAGGAGCAACCATCGAGTTGAGGTATCCACATAGTTCAAGGTGTCGGTGTTGCAAATAGTTTACATCACGTAAGCACATCTAACAGTTAATGGAAATAATCCAAGAAAACGATTACTTTTATATGCGTGTAATAAGCACAAAAACGTGAGTGTTGCAAATGTTGTCGGAATTGTCAAATGCAATTTTGTTGTCGTTGAAGACAAAGGAAAATATGGTACTTGGAGAGAATTTGCAGTTCGAATTAAAGAAGAAATTAAATAAAATCAAAATAACATTAAATAAGAATTAAAATCAAACTAAACTTAAATTGAACTGTTAAGACAACTTATTAATTATTTTATTTTATACTCTATATATTCTGTAGAAGATCTATCCTCATTTTGTCATTGACTTTATGTTTCGAATAAACTCGTTGGTAACTATTTTTCCTTCTTCTTATCCTTTTGCTTTGTCATAAACAAAAACATTTTATCTTTTGATTGCTTCTTCATTCTTGGAATATAAATTTGCAAATTCATTTCAGATTCCCAGTAACAAA